GAGATCATTCTTTATATGATTCCCACTTACTGAAATTTGTTAAGGCTTGTTTCCTGATTCAGAACATACAACACATTTGTGACTATTCCATGTACTCTTGAAAAGAAAGTGTATTCTGCTGCTGTTTCATAGTGTTTTACAAATTATCAGTTGAATCTAGTTGCTTGGTGATAATAGTCAGTTGTTCTGTATCAGTAGTTCTAATCTGGGGGCAGTTTTGCTCCTCAGTGGACATTGGGCAATATCTAGAGACATTATTGGTTGATACAACTAGTGGGCAGCTACTGGCATCTAATGGATAGACTCTTCTAGCCTTACACTGTTGGATATCCTACCCTGCACAGGGTCTTCCCTCTCATCTTTACCAATAGCCAAGAATTTTCTGGCCCAATTTCAATAGAGCTGAATCTTGAGACTGAGTCAATAGAGCTGAGGTTGAGAACACATTGTTCCTTGCTGATTTTTGACTTGCTGTATTGATTATTGAGAAGAAAGCTTCGATATCTTCAGCGATAACTACAAATTTGTCTATTAATATTATTAGCTTTTGCTTCATTTATATTGAAGCTCTGTTGTTAGGTATATACATATTTAGGATTTTTCTTTGTTTTCTTGGAAAATGTCATTTTAGTATATTTTTCTCCCTTTCAGCTAAATTTTCTTGTTCTGAAATATTCTTTGTCTGAGATTAATGAAGTTGATTCAGCTCCTTTAGTGTTTTCTTGGCATGTCTTTTCCCATTTCTTTCAGTTAAACTCATTTTTGTTTAAAGTGAACTTCTGATACATACCAATGTTTATAACAGTACTATCCACAATAGCCAAGTTGTGGAACCAGCCTAGGTGTACCCATCAGCAGATGAATGGATAAAGAAAATACGGTGTACACACACAAACACAAAAAAAATAGAATTTTACTCAGCCATAAAGAAGAATGAAATTATGTCATTTGCTGGAAAATGAATGGAACTGGAGAACATCATGCTAAGGTAAATAAGCCAGATTTAGAAAGTCAAGGGTCAAATGTTTTCTCCCATATGTAAAAGCTAAAAAGAACAAAGGAATGAAGTCGGGAGGCTCTTATTAAAATAAAGGGGAATTAGTAAAATATAAACAGAAGCAGGGGGTGGGAACCCAAGAGGAAGGGGACGATCTGAGGAATGACATGACCAAATTATAGTAGGTGCATGTATGTATATACCACAATGCATTCCAATTTTGTATGTAACTATAATGCATTGATTAAAAATAAATAAATAGAAATAAGACCAACAGAGTAGAGGAAAGGGGTCAATAGAGGGAGAAGGAAAGGGAAGTGGATTGAAATGGGGTAAAAATAAAGTTTTTAATTTCATATAGAGAGCCCATAATTGTTTGTTTTTCTCTTGCATTCCAATCTCATCACTGTGTTTTCACTGGTATGTTTGGTTCACTTTCATATAATGTAAGTATTGTATGTCTAGATTCAGGACTACCATTTTTATGTTTTTTTTGTTTTGTTTTGTTTCTGTTTGCTCCTTCTGTTTTCTGCTTCCTGCATTCTTTTGGATTATTTAATTTTTTTAAGAAAAATGGTTTTACTTTCATTTACATACTTAGTTTTTTACTATTTCTTTTAAAATTTGTTTCAGTGTTTGCTCTGGGGATCAAAATATACACCTTAACTTTCACAGTATGTTTACGATGACTATTTTACCACTTCAAAAGCAATGTAAAAACTTTACTAGTGTTCAGGTCTCATTAACAGCTCCCACTATGTTTTAGTTGTCATATATACTGGATCCACATACATTGACAACCCTATCAGATCATGTTATAATTTTTGCTTTCAACTCCAAATATATTTTAAAGATTTTAAGGGAAAAAAATAGCTTGTTACATTTACTCAGCTATTTATCATTTCCATTGTTCTTCCTCTACTCCAAAAGATACAAGGAGCCAAGTTTCTCTCCAGTGTGGTCTCCCTTTCATTGGCATTTCTTTAACAGCAACTGAGCTAGTGACAGAACCTTTTGTTTTTCATTCATTTGAAGATGTCCTTATTTTGCCTTCATTCACCATCTGGGTTGACAGGATTTTTTTTTCCTATTAGCACTGTAAAAATTATCTTTTGGTGCCTCTGAGCTTCATGGCTTCATGGCCTGGTCATTTATAGTGTTGGACATTTTCCCCTAAATGTAATGTGTTTTTTTTTTTTTTTTTTTTTGGTCAAGATTCAAATTTCTTTCTTTCTTTTTCATCAACTTGATTATGTGTCTGAATGCAGATTTTTTTTTCCAGTTTATCATGTTTGAAGTTTGCTAAGTTTCTTGCATCTGTCCTTTTTATGTCTTTCACCAACTTTTGGAAGTTTTGGATTACTTTCCTTCAAAAATTTTTCTGGATCATAACTTCTTTTTCTTCTTCTTTTGGGAATGTGTGTGTTTCTGTGTGTACTGTACACATACACAGGTTCTCTTCCTTCAGTTTTCCATGTGCCTGAGTGAGGCTAGGGCTGAGGCAGGAGTAAAGGGGAGACAAACAGGCAAAACCAGCCAGGTGTGGTGGCGCACACCTGTAATCTCAATGGCTCGAAGGTTGAGGCAGGATAATCATGAGTTCAAAGCCAGCCTCAGCAACTTAGTGAGGGCCTAAGCAATTTAGCAAGACCCTATCTCTAAAAAAAGATACAAAGGACTGGGAATGGGGCTAAGTGGTTAAGTGCCCCTGGGTTCAACCCCAGGTATGAAAACACAAAACAAAACAAACAACAACAATAAAAACAAACAAGCAAAACCAGATTTTCTTTGCTCTGACTGATCCTAAAAGACCCCTTTCCTATTCCCTGGACTCAAATTACAATAATGACAAGATCTTCTTGAAAATCAGAAATCTTGCTGCCCTCACTTGATGTTTGGGGTTGCCTTTGAATCCAGGCCAAGAGATACAGATGGGAGTAGGAGGGAAGACTCAGGAAACATGCTACCAGATTGCTCTGAGTTAGGGGTTTTGTCTTTGATCATCCCAATACCATTTGTCTTTAAGTCCTCAGTGTGCTTCTCTGTGTGTTCTGCCTCAGGTCTTTTTGGTAGGCAAGGTGGGGCAGGGTGCCCATACTCTCACTTCACTGTAACAGGAAGGTTTAAAGCTGTCTTTTTAAAGCTGCTTTAACCTACCTGGCTTCTCTGAGCTGAATGATACAGAAACTTCCTTACTGGTGAACAAAGTGCCAGGCCTGGTGACCAGCCAATTATGCCTGAGTGTGGTATGTCCACCATTTCTGAAAAATAGAATCAGCTAACAAGGCTTGCTCAAAAGAATATCAGTGCTGTTGAGAACTGAGACTCCTTTCACTGATTTACTGTGGAGATCAACACACCAAGCCCAGGAGGCTATGATCTAACAGGATTGAGTAAGGCGAGACCCTCTGATCTTCAATTAAGAGTGGTGATAGTGGGATTCATTATAAGCACAGGAAGGTCATTTTTTTCCCTTTGGACCCTGAAGATTACTGAATGAGAAACTTGTGAGATAACAGGTCACATATCCCAGTTGCTCGAGACTCATGAACATGGCTCCTGATAAGAGTCTGGATGATGGAAAACAAACTCTGTTACGTGTCTCCCTATCTACCCTTCCTGGGGCTAGAGGCAATACAAGTGTTTGGCTTCCAATAGCATGCTTATGTCTGCTTTGGGAAACTTGATCCGAAAGTAGGAAATCAGCAAACAAGAGCCATCAAATTCTAGAAGAAGAAAGGGGTTGCAGAACACAAAGAACAGTGTTTGCACCCTCTTCCTTGCTGTAGAACTTTTTCGCTTCTGAGCCTCAGTGTTCCTCGCTTTATGATAGGGATACTTCCATGGATCTTGTTGGGTTGTTGAGGATTGGAGACACTATGTTTAATAACTAAAATTAAGATGTTACTGTGTGGCAGGCATTGGTAAAAATTCTATGTAGTAGTACAGATAATTTTCCCCCACTAAGAGCTCTTTGAGGGGGTTGTTTTCACAAAACAAGGAAATTTGGGCATTGAGAATTTAAGAAAATTATTAGCAGCAGAACTGAATTTCTAAGTCAAGAATGCTGAGGCTAGAATCTTCCATTCCCTTTACATTCTACTTCTCTGTGTGGTGGCATTCATAACTATCATAACACCTATGCATGCAGGGGATTCTACTGTGAGGCTGGGGAGGGGTAGGAGGTGGAGAAAGGAAGCATTGTCTTATAGCTTCACCTGGCTAAACTCCAGTCCTCTGCATGCTTATAGTGTAGGCAAAGCCTGACAACCTGGGCTCAATATAGCTCCTGTTGCCCTGTAGTTATATTAGTCAAGGCCTGACTGATTCCTCTGAGTCCAAAAGGTGAAGAGAGATAAAATAAGTCTTTCTTAACTCCTACCTGATTTCCTCGTAGCCAGGCTTATGTTGCATCTGATGGAAACCCCTTCTTAGGACAGTCATATGAAGAAGACTCTAAACTTATGTGGGGTATAGAAAGTGGCAGATAGTCAAGAAACACATGTGCACGTATGTGCACACACACACACACACACACACACACACACACACACACACTTGGGGTCAGGAGTACATGTCAAAGCCCAGGACAATGGAGGCATTCATAAGTCAGAAGGATGCTAGAGATGCATTCAGCATCCTTCAGATCAACCACGCACCTGCCTTTCAACATCTAGGAAAACTGAAGCCTGAAAATTGCACACAACTTGATAATTGAGAGGAGTCAGAGCATCAGCAGAAGTAACCCACCCAAAAGTCTTTATCAAATTCTGCTGATGCTCTGACTCCTCTCAATTATCTGTTTGTATCCTTTTAGACCATTATGATGGAGCAAAGCACATGATTTGGGGCTAGTCCAGTACCCTTATCTCCTCTTGTAACTAATTTTTTTTTTGTTCATACCAGAGTCTATCTTCTAGAATTTTCATGTAACTCCTTCCTCAAACTGATTACCATCCAATCAGAAAAATATTCTTCAAACAAAGTCTCTTAATAAAAGAACATGGCCCAGGTTGGGAGAGGCATCAAGGGCAAGAAGATCACCTTCAATGTGGCCAAGAATTGTATTAGAATTACTTTTGATGGGAAAAGACGCCTTGATCTGAGCAAGATGGGAATTACCTCCTTCCCCAAGTGCATTCTGCGACTCAGTGATGTGGACGAGCTTGATCTTAGCCGGAACATGATAAGGAAGATCCCTGAATCTATTTCCAAGTTCCAGAACCTGCGTTGGCTGGACCTGCACAGCAACTACATAGATAAGCTCCCTGAGTCCATTGGCCAGATGACCACCTTGCTCTACCTCAACATCAGCAACAACAAGCTGACCACCAACGGACTGCCTGTGGAGCTGAATCAACTCAAGAACATCCGTACTGTCAATCTGGGTTTGAACCACCTGGACAGTGTGCCCACCACACTGGGTGCTCTGAAGGAGCTCCATGAAGTGGGGCTCAATGACAACCTGCTAAAAACCATTCCAGCAAACATCTCCAAGCTCCCCAAGCTGAAAAAGCTTAACACGAAGAGAAACCCTTTTCCAGACACTGAGCAGTCAACCTCATTCATAGATTCCATTAAAAGGATGCAGAACCTGTATCTGGTCGACTCAAAAGATCTGTGTGGGCCCTGCCTGCGGAAATGCCAACTGGCCCGGGAAAATCTGAACAAAATGAAGAGCATGGTTTTGCCAGGACCCAGAAAAGCCATCTTCCCAAATTTGGTCTCACCCAACTCCATGGCTAAGGATTCCAAAGAAGACTGGAGGTGACCTGGGACCCTGACCCTGAGGCAGGAGAGGAAAAAGTGGGAGGGAAGGGGCAGTGGCCTGCATCCACAGGAAAGTGAAGGCTCTTCCCATTACTGCTATAGCTCTTCCTCCCAAGCCCATAAACACCTTTCTCTACCTCCTCTGCTTATGATTTTGCTGATTCAAGGGCTTTTGGTTCCTTGCCATGACACACCTTTCCCTCTTCTCTGCAGGCACATACCCACATGTACAGATACAGTGATTCTGGGAAAGGCCATCCGTCCCGCATCTCACTTCTGCCCCAGAATTCTCCTGCCTACTACTCGCAGCCGCAGCAGCTCTTGCTGCCAGCACGCTCTTATTCTCATTATCACTGGCATTTCAGGACCCACAGCCAGTTCCCAAAAGTTCTATGGGAGTTTTTTGAATCTGAGCTTCAAAGGGCAGCAAACCCATAGGAAGAGTTGGTGGGACAGAAGATGGCACTAGTCTTGGGTGAAGGACAAAGACAAGCTAGAGAGAGGAAAAGGTCTTATAGAGAAGTATTGGTGGGTATCATCTTGGATCCAGAGCTTTACTATCCTTTCCTCTTATCTGTACTTGGAAAATTTGCTCCAGGAGTTTTCTAGACTAAACCTGCAGGCCCTTGAACTGGCTGTGAATGAGTGAACCTATTTCATCCTGTGCTTTTCCATACCCTTGTGGGGAGGTAGGAAAGAATGGAGGCAGGCATGGATTGTTGGTTGGTGCATTAAACAAATAAATACCTTACTAGACACCATGCTAGGTGCAGGGCCCCTGCACAGTTGGGAAAAGCGTGGCTTGCCTGCATAAACTGGAAGAGAAACTATCTGAAAGAAGGTGGGGAAAAACATCATAGTCTGAGGAATTGAGGATATTAGGACCATGGTCTTCGTAACCATGATTTAAGACTTCCTCAAGATAATTATAAATACACATAACTATAAGCTATGGTTAGACTTTTAAGGCATGCAGAACTGGCCTGGCATAGAGAAAAACCAGATTCTTCTGGTCCATGACATCTCTGCTTCTCTTGCCAGTCCTTTGGAGTACCTTACTTAGCATCCATTCCCTCATCTGTGAAGTAGGAATAGTACCATACCAAACTGCAAGAGCTGTCATGCATCTAAAACAGGCAGCACAAAGAACATGAACTCACTCACACGGGTTCTCTCCTGGACAGAGAGCTTGGTGCATCTCAAAGCTGAAATACCATCTTGGGTAGTGGCACAAGTCACAGGAGCTTTGGGCAGAAATGATAGTATAGAGACAACCCCACGATGACTTATGAACCTTCTTCTGCCCTCACTGTTTGCCACTCACTCATAACTTCATACTGGCTAAGAGGAAGGGTCTGAGGAAGACACCTTGAGGAAGGTTCTTCCCCCACAACTTTCCTGAGTGGTGGCAAGTTTGCTGCTGTGGCCATTGTTCAGCATGGAGCCTCCATCTGAGTAGGGGGATTAGCTTTTATCTCTTTTTCACACTGTAAATCACAGCAGACAGTATGTTTCATTTTTTTCTCCTACTTACTATATTTCCTTTTTTAATGCTTAGCTCTTACAACTTTGTTGCACTTTGAAAATTTCAGATCTAGATTCAAAATTCTAATCTTACTTTCTTCCCTTTATTAAAACTTTCTGCTAGAAAGTAACAAAACCTCAATCTAGTTTTAAATAGAATAGCTTAAAGTACCCACTATTCTATAGTGTAAATAATTTCTAATATTGGCAGCCTTCCTTACTAGTTATTTTTCTGTGAATCTATTTATGCAGAGTTAAAATTACAGCATTCCTGTCATTTCTATCCTGCATTGCAGCCCACATTGTCATGAAGTCTTTATAACCATAATATGAAACATCTGCAAGAGAGTTATTCTTATGGATATGCATAACTATAGGTTACTTTGGGCATTTAAGTTGTTTGCAATTTTGTTGTTGTTGTTAATGGAAATGGCTTTGTGCTGAGAGGCTGGATTACTAAAATGTTTTTTAAATAATTTGGATGATTTATTTGTATATCTGCATTGCTAGAAATATTGTGTGAAAGGTTTTTTAAAAATATAATTTTTGATGTATGCCATCAATAAGTTCACATATATTTGTCTACTAGTAATATGCTAGAGAGCCAGCATCAAGCACTGCCCTTTGCACTTTTCATTGAATGTCAGCAATGATTTATTAGAAGCCCTCTGAAGAGTGGGGGCAGTCATGTCTGAAATATGCATGATACCTTTGGTTCAGGGGCCCTCACTAGGATGCTGGGCCCTGGGCACATCCATAAAGGAGACAGCTGGCATTTTTTTACTTCCTCTTTGACCCAATAGGGACAGAATTCATACAGAGGACACAGATCTAAGCAGAGTGGTAGCTAGTTATATGGATATTTCTCATTTCAATTACTCTCCCCTTGAGGCACTTTTGTATTTTGGAGAATTAGTATCACCTTCTTAGGTACTTTCTGCAGATCTTTTTAAGAAAAGCCTTGCAGCTACTGATCCCACCTCTGCCCCCAAGGAGGATCCAGGTCTGGGGCAGGGATTTGTCACTCTGCTTCTTCCTCTGCCCCTGGCAGCACAACCCTCACTATGCTTGGTCAGGTCCACTCCTGGCTTTGCTGCCAGTGGTTGGTTGGCATGCAAGTTGACACCCTCGCTCTAGTGTTCCATGATGTTTTTGCTCTTATCTCCAGGTCCTAAGAAGGGGTTTCAGTGCACTGGAGTTCACCAGAGTTGAGCAATGAATGGGTGGTGGGCTTTGATTTGCCACTGAAAGTACTCAGGTCAGATACCATTTTAGCTAGAAAATGCTGGCAGTAGAATGAAGCACAGACTGGAGATACTGACCAGTTAGGAGACTGCATTTTATTTCTTTTTCTCCCAAGGAAAAGTTTGATGATAATGTTCCTTCATGCTCTAAAATGCCACCATTATCTTTACCTCCTGGAGATGGTGTAAAGCCTAAGAATACTTGATAGTAAATCCATGGGATTTCTCTTTCCTCAAGTAGAATAAAAACTGACTTTTCACTTATCCTTACCCTATCCATCGCTCTTTTGGGAAGCTAGCCATGACCTGGGTGACACTGATGGGACCTCAGGGTGACCTGTGTTTTGCCTTGTGGTCTGGAGAAGTTGCTCAGCCTCTTTTGTCTCCATTCCCCAGGATGCGCACACCTTCCTGGAATAGCTTACGACAAAGACAGGAAGAATAATCAACTAACAGGAATCAGCGACTCTGAAGAGGAGAAGCCCTGAGTTAGGAGAAGACAAAGAGTGAACAGGGAACATTCTGGAAGTCAGGCTCTCTGGTGCTGCCCAAGCCACTGACTTGCCTTATGAATATCTGCTTTGCCTACCTTCCTTTAGGAAATGTGTGAGAAGGTGTGAAAATGACTTGGGAAAATATTTGAAGTACTTTTTTAAATGTAGAAGAAGCATTTAAGAAAATTATTAATATACTATTGACAAATAAAGACAAAAAAAGATGTTAAGTCTTTAAAGGCTTACAATCTCAACATTTCACTCAACTGGAACAATCAGACACCAGTCGCCTATGAGAAGATACATATATATACTGAAATACTTCAAGCAACTAACATTTATACAAAATATTTACATAGAGAAATAAACTTATTATAAAGAATTTCAACAAATCTTTTAATTATGCATAGGTAAGCAGAAAACAGAAATGAAGAATAAGGAAAAATCAGAAAATAAAAGATATTTATGTCCCAACATATCAATAATTACATTAAATGTAAATGGTCAACTTTATTTGTAACAGCTACAAACTAGAAACAATTAAATGTCCCCCAATGAACAAATGGTTAACCAAAGTCTGGAATACATCATGGAATACTATTCAGCAATAAAAAATGAGCACAATATTCATATATGCAACAACTCAGATGGATCTCAATGGCATTGGTTTGAATTTTAAAAGGCCAAAGATTGCATACTCCATGATTCTATTTATAGAACATTATCTAAAGGACAAAATGATAGAGAAGAAAAGAAGACCAGTGGTTACCAGGAATTAAGGATGGTTGGGAATGGAATGGCAGGGAGTGGGTATGATCAATAAAGTAGTGGTTCAAGAGATATATTTGTGGTGATAAAATAATTGTATATGTTGATTATGATGATCATTACATGTGGTAAAATGATAAATAACTATGAACATACATGTACCAGTGTAAATGTCCTGGTTTTTGAAATCATACAATAGTTACATAACACATACCCATTGTGGGGAGTTAAATTAGGTGAAGGGTACCCAGGCCTGTCCCCTTCACCACTCTTACATTGCAACACTCTACCTGCCTTCCATCTTCCACCCTTATAATCTGTGTGGCCATTCTGGCTAGTCCTTCCCCATCTCTCCTGCTGGCTCCTCCCCATGTACTTCCCCTCTAGAGGCTGGTGTGCCCAGGGTACAGTCCTAGACTTCCTTTCCATGTTCATGCATTCTCCTGTTGATCTTGGTCTACTCTCGTGGCTTTAAACACCATTTCATTTCCATCTCTTGACCCCTCTCTCAAACTCCAACTTCATATATCCCATGGTCTACACAATGCCCCCACCTAGACACACAACAGGCATCTCAAAATACACACATCTAAAGCCGCCGAGCTCCTGCTATCCAACACAGCCCCATAGCAGCTCTTCCTGGCTGTCCCCATTTCATTTTCTAGCTGCTCAAGGCTAAATTCTTGGTCTTGTCCTTAAATCCTTTCTAAGATACACTTATCATCAAATCTCATAATTTTTATCTTCAAAATATGTCCATAGTCTGACCATTCACAGCATCTTGGTTACCATTTCCCAAGTCATCATCATTCACCTGAATTACAGTGACCACCTAATCAGTCTCCAGCTTTTGCCCTTGACCTACAAAGTTCTATTGTTGACACAGGAGCCACAATAATCTTTTTTCAATGTAAGTCAGTTCACAACAATCCTCAGAACTCTCCAATGCTTCCCATTTATTCAGAGTAAAAGCCAACACCATGAGCCCTCGAGAACTGCACAAACTCACCTCTCCTACTCCTCCCCACTCTGCTCTAACTCCCTACACCCCACCAAGGAGCAGCTCCAGCCTCAGCCAAGCCAGCCAGGCTCCCTTCAGGGCATTTTCATTGTTATTCCCTCCATCTAACATTTTCCTGGGTTACCTGTATAACAGGTTTCCCCATTTAATTCAAGTCTTAATTCAAATATTATTAATAAGAACTTTGAATTCAATGTGAACCTCTCTCTGCTTTATTTCTTATACTTATTATTTAATATGCTTTACAGTACATTCATTTAAATTGTTTAATGTTTATTCTCCTCACAAGAAGGTAAACTCAATAAGGACAGGAGAATTTTTTTGGCTCTTTTGCTGGTTATTCTGTTAAGTGCCAAATTCTTTATATCACAAGTTATAAAAAAAATAATTTTTGAATTGATGAGGCCTATTCCATACTTACTACCATTCTTGGTCATACCTCTTGTCCTATTCTCACATAATTCTGGTTAAAACCAGTAACCATCTTTTCCTCCTATTCTCATTCCTAACTGAAATAAAAAAAATATTTACTGATTCTGAATTGGCCTCCTAGAGACCTGGGCACCAACAAAGGGGGTCCTGAGTAAGGGCAATAAGGCTTTCATTCCCTGGGAACACGCCCCATATCACATACCCACAAATCAGAGACCAAGTTCTCTCATCTGAAATGCTTGGAACCAGAAATGATTCTGTTCCCACATTTTTTAAATGTTGGAATATTTGCATATACTATTGGGTTATCTTGGGGATGGGACTCAAATCTAACCAAAAAATTCATATTGGTCTGCTGAAAGTCATCAATGACCCTTAAGTTGCCAAGTTCAATGGCTATTTTATATATACCTTAAACATACAACCTGAAGGTAATTTTTACAAGATTTTTAGTACATCTGTCTTTTAACTGCCCCCTGTCACATGAGGTCACACATGGAATTTTCCACTTTGTAGCATCATATTGGTACTCAAAAAGTTTTCGATTTTGGAGTATTTTGAATTTTTCTGAATAAGGATTCTTTAACCTGAATTTCGCCTATGAGCATTCAGAAGCACTCATTATGCAAAGACAGACTTGGGATGCTTCCCACATCTGCACCTGAGGGCCTGAATCCCCAGCTGTGCCTATAGCAAACTACCCAACCACCACAGTCAGGAGCCGCTTGCCACCATTTGGGTCTGAAAAAGCCACAGAGTATGTGGAACTTCAGGTATATTCATAGTGGTTTAATTGGAAGAAAGAATTTCAGGATGATGAAGGATGAAAGGAGAATGGGAAAGGAAAAAAATAAAGGAGAAATGGGTGGACATGCTCTTTGCATGACTCTTTAAAGTAGGACCAGGCAAATATAGACCAGCAAAGTAAGGTCTGCACCAGGCCCAGAGAGCCTCTAGTCCTGACTTACCTTAGATTGAGGGGGTCCTCTGTGACACCTTTCCCCTTCAAGCTGGGCTGGAAAGAGCAAAAGCTAAACAAAAAAAGAGAACAATTTTATCAGGAGAGCCAAGCCCTTCCCACCACCACCAGAGACATTTCCCAAATCAGAAGTTGGCCCATTCTTTCTCCTCCATGTCTCAGTCCCATACTGACTGAGGTCATGAATACCAGGCCCACTGTGCCCTGAGGCACCCCTCAGCTCATTCTAACTTCAACTCCAACAATGATGACATTAAAACAGTAGGTACTAAACTCAATGTGCTGTGGCATCTCCTCTGGGCCAGGCATTTGATAGTTCCATGGCCAATTGTGACAACCACTGCTGTCCATTCCAGTGTGTCAGTGCTATCTTAATTCAAGCCTCCTTGCATAGCTTTGGAATTTACACCAGTCTATACTCTTGAACTGAGCTGTATGTTATGGTTTGGATCTTAAATGCTGCCCAAAAGCCAAGGTGTTAAAGGCTTGATTCCCAGGGTGGAGCTATTGAGAGGTGGTGGAAACTTGGAGAGATAGGGCCTAGTGGGAGGTCTTAAGGTCACTGAAGGCATGTCCTTAAAGGGGACTGGGGAACCCCAGCCCCTTCCTCTTGCTCTCATTTTCTTTCCCACCATGAGGTGAAGAGTTTTGTCACCTGCTGCCATCATCATGTGCTGCCTCATCACAGGCCCAAAGGAACAAGGTCAATTGATCATGAACTGAAACCTCCAAAATCGTAAGCCAAAACAAACCTTTTCTCTTTATAACAACTTTCTCAAGTATTTTATTATAGTGATGGAAAGTTGACCAACACATATTGAAGCATAAAACTTCTAGATTAGCTATAAGAAACTTTTTGTTTTATACCCAGAAGCCATAAGGGGCAAATGAACCAAGTGTAGCATCACTGGTCCACTTATTCAGTGTAATCTAAAATGGACCTTGAAGACAATTTTAAGAGGCAACCTAACAGTAGCCCTTGGAAGGAACTCATCGGAAGTGTCACCTGAATCAAAGGGGCATGTCCAGGGCTGGCAGGCACAGCCTCTCTGCAGTTATTTTGCTCCACTCTGGCCTTGTTTCCTGGATGCACTGGCTGGCTCTGGCACCACTTACTGGCAGAAAGGCAAACTTCTGAGTATAGAAAAGGGCTTCCAGAGTAGGGGAGGGGTCAAGTCTCATCTCTTTAGTTAAGCTCAAAGTGGAGCAGAACATAGCCACCCTCCATTACCCCAACCACAGCATGGCCTGCTTTGACTTTCCTTCCTGTGCTTTCTAGATTCTTTATACATCTATTTGTCTACAACTTTAGTAACAATAAAAAATAAATAACTTTTGAGTATTTGGGGTTCAGATACTGGCTTACATTTCCTAGGTTTTCGTCTGGTTGGAGAAAGAGGAACAGAGCTGAAGTGATAGGCTTCTCTTTTAAAGAGAAAAGATGCTCCTTGCACCCCTGGAAGGGTGGTTGCTGGGAGTGGTTTCCACTGAAGTTTGAAACTGGAGGGACTGAAATTGGCAATCGGGATCAAAAAGGAAGATTGGGCCAAAGAAAAAGCTTAGTCAGAAAATGAGAAAACAAATCCAGAACATTCTGGAAGTCCCATTAAACAACCAGTTTCTGAACTAGGGTATATCTACTCTATTTTTTCTTCTCCTCATTCACTACTGTACTAAAACCACTTTAATCAATGAAAATGGAACCTACTTCCCAGGCTTTAGGGAAAGAGCTTCTCTACATTTTGTCTATATTTTGTCCTAGGATTCAATAGTTCAGTGGGCAGGAAGCTCTTCCTTTTTTCTAACCTAAATCCTGCTTGCTGTGGATTGGAAATACTTTTCCTGAAAACAGACTTGAGCAAACTCTGGGTTCAGGATCAGTTTCCTTGGAAGGAGAATTTTTAATC